GGGACTCGATCCCAGGACCCTGGGATCATGACCTGAGCCGAAGGCAGACGCTTAACGACTGAGCCACCCAGGCGCCCCTTGTCTGGACATTTCTGCCATGAGTTAATAATGTTCTTTCATGGAGGGATTTGCTTCATTAACATATTTTAAACTCAGGATGGAATATTTGGTTACAGTTTTCATCTACTACCTGACAACATTTCTTCTCAGTGAGTATTCTTCCTCTATTGGTAGTTTCTGCCCTTCTTTTCTACTTTCTAAAATTAACTGGTGGTTGAATGAGTTGGATTTCCCTAGACCGGCCAGGGGCAGTAGTTTCTGCGGAAGGGGGAGGGACTTCAGCATACTTCTGGCTCCATGGTTCCCTCTCCTGCTAGCAGGGGACTCAGTCTGGTCTTTGAAGTGTGGCCCTTCTGTGTGTTTTCTCTGTGTGGCCACACTTCCTCTGCCTCCCTCCCCAGACTGCACTGGGTCTGGGAAGACTTCTGAGACCCAGCCTTGTATGTGTAGTTCTCTTGCCCTTAGGAGTCCTGTTTTTGCTGGTAGTTTCAGAAATCTGCCACTTCAGGACCACTCACCTCACTTTTTGTACTTTATCTAGCAACCTTCCCCCAAAACATCACTTAGGCTTCATCTCAGCCCGGCTTGTAAGAGCTGCTTTGCCGCATGTGTGGCCCTTCTCCATCAGGGAGTGCCTTTTTTCCCCCGTACTGTGAGATCTGCCTCGGCTCGGCCTCCTCAGAACTCCTTGCCCAGCTCCCATGCTGCCTCCGTGCGACTCTGCCTGCTTTTTGTTGCATTTGACAAACTTACAAGTATTTTAAGTTTACTGACTTTTTTCAGACTCCTAGTTTTACGAAAAATGGATGCTTTCTGGTGTTTGTTTTCAATGCTCCTTATTTCCCTGTGTGGGATCTAGAAGGAATAGAGGAAAATTATGATGGATGCAGCCGCCATGTTAAATTTGGCACAAGTGCTTTTAACGCCTTGATTTAGTTTTCCACGCAGCTAAACTCAGAAATAAACAGACATATGAAGTGATAGAAGCGATCTTTCATCACACTTCACAACCAGTTTTAAACCTTCTTATGTGATTTTCTGCTCTGAAGGTTTACAGTTTTCTTGTAACTATTTTGTTACACTTTATCTGGGCTGCAGTTTACATAAGCACCTAGAGATGCCCTATGGTTCCTTTGCTTTCAAGGGCTTTATAATGGAAGTTCAAAGATTTAGTAGTTTTTTGGAACTCTCTTGGGTCATCATTTGGTAACAACCATCATTTGCCTCCCACTTTAAACCTCATCCAATAGATGACAAATTGAGCATTTTCTGCGTTTCGACTTTGGGAGCGATGAGACAGAGAAGGCTGATTTTTGCAATTACAGTAACACAAAGACCTGAAAACCATAGCACAAGTGTGTTGCCTCTGCTTTCAGTACCTTCCCTTGCAGAAGAAAGCCATAGGTGGATATGATATATATTCACTTTTATATTTCCACTTCTAGGCATTTCATTTATTCCCCATCTGGTGTCTTAGTTTGCTCTTTCTAACATGCTTCTGCAATCTATTTTGTATAGCAGCCATCACTGTTTCAGGAAAACCAATACTTTTCCCTGCCATTTTGAATCCAGCTTTATCTTCTTGAGGCATTGAAAATTGTCACATGTGTGTATTGTGTGTGTGTGTCTAATACATCTTGTAAAATGTAAAAACCTAAACACCATAAACTACTTTCTTCAAGTCCTCTAATTTTAATCTGCCTTTACTTTTCATCTGTGAACCAATCTCTAGGCATATGAATGGATATGACTGATTTTTATACCAGTTCCTTCATTCCCAGCATATTGAATATGCCAGCCTGGCACTAAGTAAAGCATAATCACACTTCTTCACTTGGTTCAACTTGACTCAGAAGCAGGTGGTCAACATGGAACCCTTACAGCTTCTATCTTACTTGATTGCACCTTTGAAAAAAAGCATAGAACTGTGCCATGCTATTTTTTTTTTTTAAGACATTTCTGGCTTTTTCTCTTACAAGGCCTGCTGCTATGGTCTGAATGTGTCCCTCTAAAATTCATACATTGAAAACCTAAGGCCCAAGTTAATGGTATTAGGAGGTAGGGTCCAAAGGCCTATCATGATTACCTCATGATGGCAGAATTCTCGTGCATGAGATTGGTGCCCTCATGAAAGAGGCCCCACAGAGTCCCCTAATCCCTTCTGCCATGTGAGGATACAATCAGAAGTCTGTGACCTGCAGGAAGACTCTCCCCTGACCATGCTGGCACCCTGGTCTCAGCCTTCCAGCCTCTAGAACTGTGAGAAATAAATTGCCGTTGTTTCTAAGCTACTAATTCGGTGGCATTTTGTTATAGCAGCTCAAATGGACTAAGACAAGGTCACTAGTTTAAAAATGTAGCATGGAAATCCATAAAAGCTTGATGATGTATATTCATTTATCTTTCCAAAATGCATTCTCAAATATCACATCATTTGGAGTGGGGAAGATTTTCCTTTTTGCTCATCTCTCTGCTTTTTGATTCGTTTTAATCTTTTAGACTGTATTGGGTCATATTAAGTTCCTTTCTGTTAGGTGACCTAGAGACGTATAAGAAAACTCACATCTTTTAAAATACGTTGATCCTTTACAAATGAGAAGGATCCCTATTTTTAGTAGCAAGGTCATGCTGCTGAGTCATAGTTGAGTCTCTATTGTTCGTAAGTTCATCTACTTAAAATGAGTAACACGATAAATTACTAACACTATTTCTTCAGAACTCATAAACACTTATCTGCTAAAATACTTCTTATCCCTGGGTGACATCTCTGTGCTGAGGGTACTCATCCATTGTAATGCTACACATGGTTCATTTTGTTAGGCCGTGGAGGCTGTGTGTTCATCCACGAGGGGCTCTGTACCTTGTCTAATAAGAGTCTTGTGGTAGGTGCTAATCTAATGATAGTTAATTGATACCTAGGAATAGCATGTGCCTCACCGCAAGCACTTATCAGTGATACATAGTACACACACTGAGAAAGTCTCAAAAAACTTTAAAGTAGTTTGAAGGTGAGAGCAGATGAAAGAACACTCATACAAATAAAGGCGAAGAAGAGCCTACATACCAAATAGAATATAAACAAAAAAAAGGGAAGTCATACAGTATATCTCCTGGTCCTCGATGTACAATATATTAATACAAATGTGGGTATATACCTGCCTTTTTCAGGTGTGTATTTCTTCACCTTCAGCATGATGAAGCACGAGGATGTTGAAGAAGTGTATGTGTACCTCATGCACAATGGTAATACAGTGTTCAGCATGTACAGGTGGGTGGTCTTCTCTATCACAGGGATCAACCATGCCGCCATGGCTTGCTCAAAGGATGGCAAATGCCAGGGAGTGTGTAAGAATCAAGAGAACCTGACTTGGCATCACTGAGCGCTCCCATATACCAATATATGGCCAAATTATAATTACTGTTTGGGAGGAAATAAATCTGATGAACTTGAGAATAAGCAGGTGGATAAGAGGCCTTGAGCTAATTACCAGCAACACTCCCCATAACTAATCATTTGTATCCTTTTTTTAAAAATGATGTTATTTATTTATTTGAGAGAGGCAGAACACACATGTGCTTGTGAGAGCGGGGTCGGGGGACAGGGAGTCTTTTTTTTTTTTAAGATTTTATTTATTTATTTGACAAAGAGAGAGAGAGAGAACATGCAGGGGGAGCAACAGGCAAAGGAGAGGGAGAAGCAGGCTCCCCACTGAGCAGAGAGCCCAACGCGGGACTCGATCCCAGGACCCCGAGATCATGACCTGAGCCGAAGGCAGACGCTTAACTGACTGAACCAGGCACCCCCATTTGTATTCTTTTCTTAACTCATAACTTCTTCCCTTCTTTCTCAGCCTTTTCTTCTATTTTCTTACTCTGGCCAGAGTTTACCCCTATTGATGGTCTTCTCTACAGTCTTCCTCAGCTGACAGGTAGAGAGTTGGGAGTAGACCCGGGCCTTTAGGCCATGCTGTGGATCTGATATTTATCCTAGCAACCTGGCCCTAGAGTTTCTTGTAAAAAAAATATTTTAGGGCGCCTGAGTGGCTCAGTCGGTTGAGTGACCAACTCTTGGTTTTAGCTCAGGTCATGATCTCATGGGTGTTGAGATCAAGCCCTGCATGGGGCTCCCTGCTCTCGGGGAGTCTGCTTGGAGGATTCTCTCCCTCAGCCCCTCCCCCCACTCACTCTAATGTGCGCACAGGCATGCACCCCCCCAAATAAATAAATAAATCTTTAAAAAATTATCTTAAAAAGAAATATTACTACTTGTTTTGATATAAACTTAGGATGTGGGAAAGAGGCAGAGAGCCAACATCTTTCCCATAACTAAATGGGTGGTGAGTTATCTATGAAAAACTCTGTGGTTGCTATCTTATCCCTGTCATTTTTGATGACTTGGGAGGATTGCCATTTCTTCTGGTGCCTGGCTTCCAGTGGGAGGATGTATTTGAAAAACCAAAAGAGAAAAAGAGAAGTAGGTGAAATTGCTGCAAAAAAGAGACTCAAGGGGCACCTGGGTGGTTCAGTCAGTTAAGCGGCTGCCTTTGTTGGAGATCATGATCCCAGGGTCCTGGGATGGAGCCCTGCGTCCTGCTCCTGCTTGGTGGGGAGTCTGTTTCTCCCTCTCCCTCTGCCTCTCCACACTGCTTGTGCTCTCTCATAAATAAATAAATAAATAAATAAATAAATAAATAAATAAATAAATTCTTGAGAGAGAGAGAGAGAGACTCAATATGGCAGCTCAAACACTGCAGAGCTCTATGTTGCGTGACCAGCTCCAGGATGGGGAAGGGCGAGGCAGAGAGGGCGGAGGAGGGTTTGGGTGGAGGCAGGTTGGAAGGGAGGTGCTCTATCTGGGTTCTGAGAGATGCAGACTGGTGAAAGCAGTTCTGTCACCTGTAAAACTGACTTGCAAATTCTCCCTGGTCATTGTCATTGCCATAGTCAGAAGGAGAAAAGAGCAACAGGCTTGTGAAAATGTTTATGCATCACACATTCTATTCAAAGAATACAGTTACATTGTTCCCCAGCCCTAACTCCCCTCAACCAAGGCAAGGGCAGCAAGGAAAGGTAGAGCTGCTCCTCTGGAAGCAGGGAGATGGAGTCTGGTGAACAGCTAGGCTTCTCTGCTCCTCTGGCTACCAAGTAACTGTTGAATTCTTCTACATTTAGAGTATATGTCTCCCCATCTCCACCCCCACGGAAGCCAGCCTAAACTGCAGTTCATGCATCCAGCTCAAAGCCCCAAGGCTTAGGAATGAGCAATCCTTTTTATCAAGTCGGCCTCTCAGCTGGTTTTCTCTTTGGCTCCTAATTCTGTCCTCTGGGAGGACCTTCCTTGTTTGTTTGTCTCCATCTAAAAAGTGAGTAGGCTTTCCCTGGGGTCTTTCACAGCCCACTTCCTGCTTGTGCAAATTTGAGGTCTAAGAGTATTTAGTCAAACACCCCAAGTCCTTTGTGAGCCAGGTTTGGGTTTCTGGGTAAGACCATTTCTTCAGAAACTTAGCAGGCTTTTGTTCCATTTGCTACCAGTCAGTTATACGTGTTAGCAAACCACACCCAACATTCTTTTCTTGACAGTTTTTCAGCCTCTTCTTCCCTTGATTCCTTGTCTTCAGGCCCTTCTGTCTTGACTAGTGGTGGTTACCGCAAGGACTTCTAAACAATAGATTTAGGTAGAAAGGCAATATTTTTAATCCATCAAGTTATGTCACAGGCCGTGTCTATTAGATTGAATGAGAAGTCTTAATAGGACAACATCCACTTTATCTCTGCTATCTCTCGTATAAAAGCACTTGGCTTTTCCAACTCTGTTAGACCTCAACTTTCTAGACTCTCCCTTTCTGCTTCCTGTGCTTCAGACATCTCAGGTTTTGTCTGAACTAGTCTTTTGCAGAAACGTCTTACTAAAAGCAGTATTTTGGCTTTTCCAGTCACTTCCTTCCTTTTTTTTTTTTTAAGATTTTATTTAGCTTTTGACAGAGAGAGACACAGCGAGAAAGGGAACACAAGCAGGGGGAGTGGGAGAGGGAGAAGCAGGCTTCCCGTGGAGCAGGGAGCCTGATGCGGGGCTTGGTCCCAGGACCCTGAGATCATGACCTGAGCCAAAGGCAGATGCTTAACAACTGAGCCACCCAGGCACCCCAGTCACTTCCTTTCTTAGGGTATAGGCTTGGTAGACATAGGGTCTGCTTTCCACGTTATCCGATGTTTTCCTAAATGTTTTGCCCCATCACAACTAGGTCTCCAGCTTTCAAGCCCTACAATATTTGTCTCCTCAGTGCTCTCTGCCTGATCCTGAGCCAATGCAACATATTTTAGTTTGGGTTATAACAAAACCGTCCTTCAGTACCAAATTTTAAATAAGTTAGGGTAGACTAAATTGCTATAACATTAACCCAATGACTTAAACATAATAGAAATCCCTTTTCGGGGCGCCTGGGTGGCTCAGTCGTTGAGCGTCTGCCTTCGGCTCAGGTCATGGTCTCAGGGTCCTGGGATCGAGCCCCGCATCAGGCTCCTTGCTTAGCGGGAGGCCTGCTTCTCCCTCTCCCACTCCCCCTGCTTGTGTTCCCTCTCTCACTGTGTCTCTCTCTGTCAAATAAATAAAATCTTTAAAAAAAAGAAATCCCTTTTCTTCTCATGGAACAGTCCAGAGTGGTTGTTCCAGGTTGGTGCAAGTGAGAGAGAGTTCTGGCAACATAGTCTTCAAGAACTCAGGCTACAACACTTGGCTTCCAAGGTCATTCTGGTCATTGTCATTACCAATCCACATGGCCATAATGAGGAAGAAGCAAGGAGAGGCGTTTGGGGGAGTTGTGTTGTCCAACCCTATAAGTGGTACATGTCGTCTTTGTTCATATGCTATTTAGAGAACTTAATCATAGGACTCTAAGTGCATGAGAGTGTGGAGGAGAAGGGGGGGACATACTTTGGTAAAGAGGTGACTGGCCACTGCAAAGACTAAGTAGTTGGTACCTTTTTTTCTTTACAGCTATGAAACAAAGGGGAAGTCAGATACGTCCAGCAACCATGCAGTACTGAAGCTGGCTAAAGGGGATGAGGTTTGGCTGAGAATGGGCAATGGCGCTCTTCATGGGGACCACCAGCGCTTCTCTACCTTTGCAGGCTTCCTGCTCTTTGAAACCAAGTAAATATATGAATAGACCAGCTCTTCTTTTGGGAAGACTTATGGCTGAGCTGGTATTGTTATGATCTGAGGGACATTAGAGTTGAGGGTTCTACTCAGGAGCTCAGAAGAAGAATCCACAAAACAGTCTTCTCAAGTGATCTTGACTAATATACTTGGCATGTTTACTCTTCCCCAGGCACCTAAAAAAGAATTCCCTTCTTGATACAGGTTGGAAATAACTCTTTCCATCAAAGAAGTCATTTGCAAAGAATTTGGCTGCTATGTTTTTAATTTAATAACTTTCAGGAATTCCTCAGGTTTGGGGTTCATCATTCTTTAAAACATTTCAGAGACCAGGGTGCAGTGATTATGATGGGGCTCAGGAGGAACAAGGGCACTTGCCAGGACCAAGTTACCAGAAATATTTGTAAAGCCTAGACTGGGAAGTAACACTTTGATCCAGTGGGTCAATATTTATGAATAAATATAGATATTTTTAGTAGTTTCAGATAGCTTTTAGATAAGAAAAGTATTCACAATGCCCATAAATAATGGACTCCTCCTTTTTTTTTTTTTTTTTAATAAGAATACTGCTGTAATTAAATCTTGACTTGTAATGGCTTATATTTTTGGATATAGAATTTTCTCATGATCCAAAACTGGGTTTATCAGATCTGACTTATTATATTGAATTTTTCCCCATGGTGTTTCTTGGATTACAACAGATCTTTGTTGACCCTGGTCTGCAGAACAAGCTTAAAGTGAGGTTACATCCATATATACAGATACAGTGACCTTCTTCTCTCTCAATTTAGAAATTACCCCAATAAACTTTACACATACTGATATTTGAAGGAGCTGTAAACTCAGTTACATACAAACTAATGGATACAAAATATAAGGGCATTCAGTTTAGAAGACATAAAATAAAATCTCTTAACCTTTTTAAAAATAAAAAATGATATGACTTTTTTGATTACCAGATTTAGGCAATACTTACAATGAAGCTGTGCTCCTTTACTTTTGCCTGTCCCTCCCCAAAAAGGGACAAGTACAGAAGATAGTACACAGATTTTATTTATTTTAAGCAAAGAAAGCATCATTGGCATATGTGTTCACCTTGATGTCAAATCATATTTAAAATGCACTAGAGAGATACCTGTCTGGCACATGTCATTTAATGAATTCCCTTAGAAGCAATTAGCCCTTAATTTATTTTCTGTTACAATTTGAATTTCCACAAAAGCTTTTAAACTATGGGTTTAATTGTATTGATTATCCCCTCTAGCTAGAAGCAGAAAGAACTAGGGCTGCCCTATTAGCTAACTTGGTGTGCTCCATGCTCAGTTCTGTCTTTGACCCTTTCTTTTGATCTATAAATATTTTTAAATTCTTCCTGACCAACACTAGTAACGTTATTTGTGAATGGATATTAGCCAAAATGTGCTTGACTGGTTGGTAATGTTTTTGTGATTTTGTGTATGTCCCCCACTGCCCCTGGGGCTGTGTGGTCATGGGTATTGAGGTTTATTATTTCCAGACATCATAAATATTTTGTAAAAGTGTATCGCCAACAGACGTTTGAATGTTGCATGTTGCCCAAAGGGATTCCGTGTCTAAAGAACATACACTATTAATAAAGTGCCTTAGAAGAAGATATTGGCTTAGCTTTAGATAAAACTGAGGCGAGAAAAATGTAAAAGCGTTGTATGGAAATAAACATACTTTTGTTAAATGTATTGTTTTATAATGTTCTTAATAAAGTTGAATAGTCATACGTTGTAAGTCACTATGGTTTGTTAACACAAAGTTAAAATATTTTCATGCAGATGATGTAAACAGCCATACATTGATGATGTGGGCACAGAGCATGCTCATTTGTCTACAAAATACTCCACTTTTCAGCTATCCCATTGTTATAACTTCAACCCTCTGCAAATTTAGGACATTGATGTTTGGAGGAGGTCCTTTAATGTAATCTGAATATCTTAAGGGAACAGGATCTTCATCACATATATGAGGTCTTTCTATGCTGATGTAAATTCTAGTTTTCTTCTTAGTAGAAACACCCAGTTTGGTTGCAGGCAGGTGGAAAAGACTTTAGGCTTGCAAGTAAGTCCCAGGTGTAAAAAAGAGTGATTAGTAAGGAAGGTGGGGGAAGTCAAGATTGATTGTTTCACAATTTTACCCATGACCAGAATTATATCTGGAAAATTAATTTTACAAGTTTTCATAAAATTGAGCATCTAAAAAGGAGATAGTACGTAGGTATCATTTAAGCAACCAACTTTTTAAAAAAAATCCCCTTTACCTATTTCACTCATCCCTTCTGTCCCCCTTTGGCAACCATCAGTTCTCTGTATTTGTCTCTTCGTTTTTTTTTTCAAAATTTGTTTTGTTTTCAAAAATTCTATATATGAGTGAAATCATATGGTATTTGTCTTTATCTGTCTGAATCACTTCACTTGGTATAATACCCTCTAGATCCATCCATGTTGTCCCAAATGGCAAAATTTCACCCTCTTTTAGGGCTGATTTATAGACATGTGTGTGTGTGTGTGTGTGTGTGTGTCATGTTTTCTTTATCCATTCATCTATACATGGACACTTGGGTTGCTTCCATATCTTGGCTATCATAAGTAATGCTGCAATAAACATAGGGATGCACATATCTTTTTGAATTAGTGTTTTTGTTTTTGGTAAATACCCAGTAGTGGAATTATTGTATCATATGGTAATTCTATTTTTAATTTTTTGAGGAACTATCACACTGTTTTTCCCACTGGCTGCACCAATATACAGTCCCACCAACTGTTACAAGGATTCCTTTTTCTCCACATACTTGCCAACATTTGTTATTTCTTGTCTCTTTAATTCTAGCAATTCTGACAGATGTAAGGTGATACCTCATTGTAGTTTTGATTTGCTTGAGCATCTTTTCATGTGTCTGTTGGCCATCTGTATGTCTTTTTGGGAAAATGCCTATTCAGGTTCTCTGCCCCCCCCTTTTTAAAGATTTTATTTATTTATTTGAGAAAGACAGAGAGAAAGCATGAGTAGGGAGAGAAGCAGAGACAGTCTCAAGCAGAGTCCACACTGAGCACAGGGCCCAACGCAAGGCTTGACACTGGGCTTGATCCCACGACCCATGAGATCATGACCTGAGCCAAAACCAAGAGTCAAATGCTCAACCCACTGAGCCACCCAGGTGCCCCCCTCTGCCTATTTTTAGTTGGATGATTTGGTGGGTTTTGTGTGTGTGTGTGTGTGTGTGTGTGTGTGTGTGTGTTCAGTTGTGTAAGTTCTTCATATATTTTGGATATTAACGCTTTATTGGATATATCATTTGCAAACATCTTCTCCCATTCAGTAGGTTGCCTTTTTGGTTTGTTGATGGTTTCCTTCACTGTGCAAAAATAGTGACATTTTAAAAGAAATACATTCTTTCACTAGCAATTTGGTTATTCTGAAATACTGTTTATATGGAAGACAAGATAGACGATTGATTTTTTTTCACTTTTATTTATCAGTTTTTAGAATAATGAGTTGGTACCCTAGAAATCTTCAAAGGTGATTAATAAGATCTCTTAAAAAGCATTATTATTAACTTATGATTTTTCATATATTTAATGTGTTTCAATCCACCAGAGTCATTATTATAACTTAATGGCCCCATCTGAATCGTCTGTGGGGGGCCCTTCAAGTAAGTACCTCTATTCTTTTGACTCAGAATCAGGCTGGTGTAAATCTCTCAGCAGGGCAGAGGTGAGTGGAAACTGTAGATCTATATCCCAAACAGACTTTTACGCTTTGACCTTGGATGGGACTCCAGTGGCCTGAATTCAGCAGCAACAGGCAATTATGTAAGGTACTTGATATCCTTCCAATGAATTCTGTTGTATTTAAGCCAATAATCTGATTGATCTAAGAGAAAGGAGTAGGAATGGGGAGACAAGTTACGATAAGATGGAGTACAAAAGCAAGTTCAGAAGAGTGACTGCAATGTAGCATCATTTATGTAAATTAAAACTACAAAATATGATATATATAAAAATGTAGTATATAAATAGTATAGCTACAGCATCAATAGATAGACTGTGGACCATATATCAAAATCATGGGAGTGCTTATGTCTTATCAGTGGAGTGAGCAGGAGCAGAGAAATATAACTTTGGGTAGGAAGGGAGGGTAAAGGAGATTTTAGTTATGGAAGGTGTTAAAAGCAGCTGGCCTATGATCTATTTGCTCCCTTTACTACAGGGATGACTTGAGGGTTAAAGAAAAAGGCAGGTGACTCTCCTTGTCAATTGTACCTTTTGTATCTATTTACCTTGGGTAAATAGATGAATGCTATTTGCTAGAAGGAAGAAAAATTATCTATTTGATGCATTTAACAGATAGTCCTGGCCATAGCATTACTTATGCTCAATAAACCCAGAATCTAGGAAGCATGGTTCCAGAGCTAAGTAACTCTCTAGGATGTAAAATGAAGTCTGTTAGGTACCTGAGAACCTCATTAGAGACCTAAACTATAGCCATGGGTCAGAGGGTATATTAGTTTGCTAGGGTTATAACAAAATATCCTAACTCTCCACCGCCAGCCCTCTCAATAGTTGTATTAGTCTGCTCAGGCTGCCATAATAAGGTACTACAGTCTGGGCAGCTTAAACAACAGAAAACCATTTTCTCACAGTTCTAGAAGTTAAAAGTACAAGATCAAGGTATTTGCAAGTTTGGTTTCTTCTGAGGCCCTTCTCCTTGGCTGGCAGATAGCCACCTTCTGCTGGGTCCTCACATGGCCATCCTTCAGTCCTTGCTCTCTGTGTCCTAATTTTTTCTTGTAAAGACACCAGTCATATTAATTAAGGCCAACCCATATGATTTCATTTGATCTTAGTTACCACTTTATAAGCCCTATCTCCAAATACAGTCACGTTCTGAGGTACTGGGGTTAGGACTTCAATATATGAATTTTGAAGGGACATAAGTCAGCCTGTAACAGAGGGTATGTGTCCAATGTAGGAAGGAAGGGCCGTGTGAGATTTTCAAGAACTCTGATTTGGCTGAGCCTTTCCATGACCTGTATCTTTGAACTTATTAGTAAAACTTGATGCTGGGTAATATTTCTGATTCATGTGAAACCATCCTGGTTGTTATATGTGCACTGTTTCCTTTTAGAAACAGTAGTCTGGAAACAAATATAAAAAAAAAAATATTGTGTCAATCTGGATGTTTTCTTTATCATTCTTTGCAATTTTCTCTTTATGTTTTTTAAAATAAAAATAAAACAAGAGGGCGCCTGGGTGGCTCAGTTGGTTGAGCGACTGCCTTCGGCTCGGGTCATGATCCTGGAGTCCCGGGATCGAGTTCCGAATAGGGGGGGTCTGCTTCTCCCTCTGACCCTCTTCCCTCTTGTGCTCTCTGTCTCTCATTCTCTCTCAAATAAATAAATAAAATCTTTAAAAAAAAATAAATAAAACAAGAGAAGGGAGTAAGGAAGCTATGTCTGAACAAAGGTAGGAACATGCGCTAGAGAAGGTCCAAGGAGGTGTTAAATTAATTAAACAAGGAGGCCATTAGACTGCTGTGGTTTCAAAGCCTTGGCAGCCTACTAAACAAACCAAAATCCAACCCTGTAAATGCCTCAAAGTCATGAAATTGAAACCTAAGACAACCCATCACAAACAGCCAAGCGGACTTTCATCTACAGCTAATCAATCATTTATTTGATTTGTAAAAGCCTCTCCCCAGCTCCTGTTGGTAGAATGCTCCTAATCACTTCCTTTTTGGTGCTGCTTGATTAGAATATGTTTTGCTAAACAAACAAACACCTTAAAATTTTTAACAAGCCTCAGTTTAACATTGGATATGCAGAGAGGGAAGCAAAGAAATCCCGTCTGAGTCAAGGGACAAGCAACCCTCAAACGGCAAGGAGCCGAGGAAAAGGGAAATCACCCTTTGGACCCGGCGAGGAGGCGGGGCCGGAATCCGCCCACTGCGCAGACTCCAGGGCAGGGCCTCGCGCAAGCGCAGGAGGGAGGGACCGCTAGGCGGTCAAGCCTCCTTGGCGGCCTGGCGGGCGGCGCAATACCTAGGCTGGGACAGTTCTTGACTTGGAGACCCGGGAGCCATGGCGCTGCAGGGTATCTCGGTGCTAGAGCTGGCCGGCCTGGCCCCGGGCCCGTACTGCGGTATGGTCCTGGCGGACTTCGGGGCGCGGGTGGTGCGTGTGGACCGACTGGGCTCCCGCGGAGGTTTGAGCTTCTTGGCCCGGGGCAAGCGCTCGCTGGCGGTGGACCTGAAGCGGCCGCAGGGGGCGGCTGTGCTGCGTCGCCTGTGCGCCCGGACGGATGTGGTGCTGGAGCCCTTCCGCCACGGTGAGCCCCCCGGCGCCTCCTCAGCGCCGCTGGGGGACCGGACGCAGGAACCGGGACGTTTGACAGGCAGCGCCCGCTACATCCGTGCCCCGTTGCCGCTCAAACCCTTTCCTGTCACTGCCTTTCTAGATTGTTCTGTCGTGTTTGCTGTTGACCATTCGCCCCCTTGAGATGATCTTCCGTACTTGGAATCCTAGATACTGCTGTTGCCCTTGTTCTCCTTATATCCATTGCCGGCCCCTTCCCAAACTGCTCGTTTTTATAATCGCCTCTTTGTATTTGCCTTTCTTTATTATTGGAGGGTCACGAATCCTATGAGAATCTAACGAAAGCCATAGATTTCCCTCCCTGGAAAACTGCATATAGGTACATAGTCGTTTTTCTACAGTTTGGGGGGTTGGTGTACCCTCTAAAAGCTATCCTCTGACCCAGGCTAACACTCCGTCTTAAATCCTGGTGTTCCCAAGTTCCAGCTTCAGATCAATTTAGTTTACACTCTGCGTCCTGGAGCCACCTTATCTATTCCGAATGTTTTCACCTTTTATAGACAGATGATGACCAAATCGATAACTGTACCCCCCTCTTTTAGAGCCACAGACCGCTGGAATACACAAGCCCTGCACATCTTTTAACTGGCTGTCTCCCAGGCATGGCAACTTCCACAAATCCCAAAACAAGACCATTATGTTACCTCCTAAAATAGCATCTCCTCCTTCTGTATTATTTATCTCAGTAAATGGAACCAATACCCACCCAGTTGCCTGAATCAGAAGCCTGCACCCGGTCCATGACTCCAAATATTCTTCACTTCATCTGCTTACAGTTATCAGGGATCCAGACATTCTTCCTCCTTTCTCTCACTCGGGCTTTCCATACTTGCTGTAGTTTCCTTCACACTGTTGAAACAGCCTTTTTAAAGCTGACGTTTGGGTCTAGCACCACTTGGATCCATTCTCAGACAGCTGCCAGTTAATCTCGCTCAAGTACTAAACCAAAGTTTTGCCTGGTATATAGCAAGAAGTCAGTAAATGTTTGGTGAATGAATTGAATGTCTTTGGGGCACCAGACATATTAAACGTGTTAATTCATTTATCCTCACAGTAGATTGGAGGATTATAATAATTTAATAATTAGGATTATATCATAATTTAATAATGCCCGATTTAAAGATGGAGGCTCAACATGGTTGATTCCGAGGTCTTGCAATTAGGAGGAAAATAGAGCCCTGAATACAGACAGCAACTAGGTGAGAGGATTGTGGCTGGTGTTTATTTAAGCAGAGGACTAGAATTCTTTTTTTTTTTTTTTTGTAATTTACGTAGCTTTAGGAGAAAAAAGACCATAAAATTATTATATAATCTTTATTATTTTTAGTCCCAGGAGATTTAAAGTACCAGTTATCTGAATTTTGTGCAATGAATATGGTACTTGCTGATAAAGAGCTCTTAGATGCTATTTTAGCAAATCTTTCCACAGATATTTGCTGAGCCTTTTGTGAAAGTACCCATGCTAGGCACTTTAGAGGCCCGAGGAAACAGATCAGACATGAATCCTACCAGAGGATTCTAAGCTGATAGGGAAGGTGATGGAATATCTACACACAAAAGCACAGCATGAGGTAGAAGGTGGTGGGCAGTGATGCAGGCACAGAAAAAGAAAAGATCCTAAAAAGAATAGCCATTTTCAAAAGTGTATTTTTGACCAAATAAAGCCCCAGGGTAACTGCTCCAAGAGAACAAACTATTTCTAATAAATGACTAAGGAGAGGATTTGGGGAACTATAAAGGTACTGACTCAAGGAATGAAAGGCACACTATGGCGATTGAAGGAGCTTGGATATGCCTGAAGGGAAATAAGGAAGGGCTGGAAGGAAATAGTATTCTGGGGCAGAAGTCACACATTGCAGAAATGGTGGCCTCACTCATTGTGTCCCTGTCCTTAAAAAATGCTAAAACCCACCACAAATGTTATTAGTATGACTTGCAAGAGTGCTATTTTCTGTTTGCCATAGAGACGGGATTATATCCATCCTCAGCTCATTCCTCTTTAAAAAAAAAATCACTGTTACTTTTCTCTTAAGGTGTCATGGAAAAACTCCAGCTAGGCCCAGAGATTCTGCAGAAGGAGAATCCAAAGCTTATCTATGCCAGGTTGAGTGGATTTGGCCAGTCAGGAAGATTCTCTAGAGTAGCTGGCCATGACATCAACTATTTGGCTTTGTCAGGTACGTCAACAAAATAATCTCTCTATACTGTTTATTTTGTTCCCAGTCGAGATGGACAGTTACGCTAATTATAAAGAATTTTTAAAGGTACAGATTTAAATATTTACCAGAATCAATAAGGGGACCATGGTTGTTCAAAAAGGGCGGGTTTGTCTGGCACCTGCCTGGCTCAGTGGAGCATGTGACTCTTGATCTCAGGGTTGAGTTCAAGCCCCACTTTGCACATGGAGCCTAGTTAAAATTAAAAAGGGGGGGTTGGTTTGTCTTGGAACAGTTATTCTCAACCCTTTTCTCCTTGTTTTCACACTTTTGAGGGATAATACACTCTCACTAGTAACATTTACTAACTACATTTGTATAATCAATTCTCAGGCAAGCCGCTGCCAGGAAGTAAGAGACCTGGTTGTCCTATAGTTTGAAAATGCTAATGTCATTTGATTCCGCCTCCCCTGTCCTTCTACCTTCATTGAGAATCATTGCGTGAGTCACCATTTTAGACTTCTCTGAATACCTGTAGTTTTAGGTCATATTATCACTTTATTAGAATTTTTGCCTATGAGAACATGTCTTAGAATGACCCAATCCTAAGATCCTAAGAAAGTGTGTGTTTTTGAGTAAAGAAAGTCTCAAATTTCCTGTGAGTACAAATTTAAAGGTTGAGGAAAAGAGTGAGGATGGAATTGATTTTTCCAGCTATTTTAAAATGTAGTCACTTTTGGGCGCCTGGGTGGCTCAGTTGGTTAAGCGACTGCCTTCGGCTCAGGTCATGATCCTGGAGTCCCGGGATCGAGTCCCACATCGGGCTCC